TTTATTTGATACGAAAACTACACTATTAAGATCTAAAGTGGCGGGGCTTTGGCTCTGTACACAACGGGTATGTTGAATTTTACTGAAGAGGTGAAAGAAGAGGAGGAGTTGAAGGTGGAGATATTAGACTCTCTACAAGTAGATACTCGGTTGAATCATAAGTAATTTCCGTTTTGGGGGCCCAATAGTGATGACGAATGCATTATCCTAAATACTATTTGTACGTGGCAGTTAATAAATATGGAGTAAATTACGATAGCGGCAGCGTACACAGTTGATTAAAGGAAAAATGTTGTTCTTTGTAATAATGCAATTTGTTTACAGTAAGAATAACATAGGAAATATTCCAGAAAGGAAAAGGATTTATTGCAAAATGCCTCCTTTTCCGTGCGGATGCACTGTAAAAAAAAAAATGAAACGACATTCGATTTGAACAAGGATTGGTTGTAATGTGGCCATTAACAGATTTCTATGTTGACATTTACCATTTTGTTTAACACGAAGCCGCAACAAAGAACTCGTTATTAGGACGGATGCCACGAGATATAAGTTTTTTGTTTTTTTTAAAGTTCCATTTTATTTTTAATTTATTGTTTTAAATATTTATTTTCATGCAGAAAATCTATTCGTTTTAAAAGTAGATAACACAAGCGATCTTGACGCGAACGAGCTTGTAAACAATTTGCCTTATGTTTTTGTTATAAAGCACTTCTTGGCGCTTATAAGTAATGCTTCGGCTACTTGCCGTAACGCCTGGATTAATTAGTCTGAAGACTGACTTTTAAACGGCTTCTAGTATTTATCAAACCTCCCCACAAGGCAGGATGTGGCACAAGGCCAGTTTTTATGTGGGGAAGTTAAGAGCCCGTCGGCTCGAGCAGAAATTCTTCTTAGACCGCGTATATACGGGGTAGGGTTTGTTTACCTCCCCAGACTAGATTGTGCATTGGCACAGCCTCGTCTGCGTTCCTCTTTGCCCGAAGGCAGAGAATTCAACAAGACTGTCGGGAGCCTGACAGCGAACTGCCTGACTCTAAACGGCTTATTTTTTCCCTTCATCTTTAGCTCTTTATTTATAGTTTTGGATTAGTTCAAATAGGCAAAGGGGTATACTATTTACTCCACAACATCCCCCTTTTGAGATTAATACTTTTTTTTAATAAATATTTTATTTTTTATTAGTATTAGTACCTCTCCCTCTCTCTCTCTGGAGAGTTCATCAACGTACTTTGTAGCGTTTCCATCTCGGATCCACTTCCAGTTCTTCAGTACACTTTTTTTTCTTTTTGAACGTGTCCCTGTAGGTTCCACGACTTGTTGTAGTGATGGCACATCGAAAACAACATGTAGCATTTTTTATCGGTTCTTCCAATGTTTCAGATCGTTCCTTAAGGACAATTTTTCAGCTGTTTATGTTCAAGTCTTTTCCCTTTTACCAGGTAAATCAACTTCCCGATTCTTGCCGATATTATGCCGTTTTCCCATGTTTCGTTGTCATCCTTATATGCACTGGAGAACACTAAAGAACACTTTATAGTTTTTTACTTTTCTAGTAAGCATTAATTCCGCCGGCGACATGCCTGATGGTGTACTTGGCTGAAGTGTTCCTAAAGACCTGCCTTCTTCAATGCTCTTTTGAATGTTCCCACAAACCGTTCCGCTTGTCCGTTCGACCTTGGATGATACGGTGGGGTCGTAATATGCTCATTGGAGAACATATTACAAAAGTCTTCGAATTCTTTACCCGTGAATTGCGTTCCATTATAAGAGACTATGATATCAGGCATGCCATATCTCGCAAACAGTTCATGGAAAAAATTCACTGTCATTGAAGATGTTGGATTTTCGCACTTATAAATTTCCGGCCATTTAGTGAAACTGTCAACTATTAGAAGATAATGTGATCCATTCATAGGACCTGTAAAATCTATATACAGTCTTGGCCACGCTGTGTCAGTCTTTGGCCAATGTTTTATCTTTGTGATAGTTTTGTTGCCAGAGCACAACTTCTGCAAGCGTTCGCTATTTTTTCAATTCTAGTCCAATATACGAAACTTCTCACCAGAGATTTCATTCCTGAAATACCAGGATGTCCGCTATGAAAATTCTTCAATATTCGCTTTTGTAACATATTCGGTATTAGAACCCTTTGCCTGAACATGACTACATCGTTGCATAGATAGTAAGCGTTTAAGTCTGGTTTTTGTTCTTTCATTTTCCGCTTTTTCTTTTATTTCATCCACAGTTACTGGTAACTCTCATAATACATTGCACAAAATGTTTTTTATTTCCATTTTGCTTTTTAGTGCTGCAATGACCGTGTCCTCAAATGCTTCCGCATTTTTAAGTATTAATCTTGATAATCCGTCCACATGTCATAATTTTTTTAGACGGCTGACACACCATTGTAAAATCATAGTTTAATAAGATGGTACCCCAGAGTTCTAGCCTATTAGCTGTATGTTTTTCTTTGAATCATATATTGGTAATAGAGGCCTGTGATCAGTTTGTAACCAAAAATTTCTTTCATGAATAAATTTAAGAAATTTCTTTACAGCAAATATAATTAACAGAGCCTCTTTTTCTATCTGGCTGCAATTTTTCTCTGCTGGTAGAAGCGAGCGTGAAGCATGAGCGAAGGCTTTCATTTTACCGCCATCGTATTTGTTTAAAATCACCACTCCAATACCATACTCACTAGCATCTGGAATCATTACAATTTCTGCTTTTGGATCGTAGTGTGCTAATGATAAATCTGACGTAAGTCTTTTTTTTATTTTGTCAATCACTTATCATTCAAGTTCCACTTTACTACTTTTTTAAGTAAATCGTTTAGTAGAGCTCTCAAATTATGCATATTATGTACATATATTTGATAGTAATTAGCCAGTCCAAGAAAGGTTTGTAACGTAGTTACGTTTGTAATTTGAGTAATACTTTTAATTTCTCATACACTCGATGGATCTGTTTGACAACCATTTTTTATCAATAATTTGACTTTCGGCAAAAACAATTCACTCGGCTTGAATCCGTACTCTTTTGGTTTTTCCAAAATTGTTTTCCCATGATCAACATGTCTATTCAACTCTTTGTTTCAATTCTGTGAATGGTACGCTCCGTTTCGGCTTAAATACTGGCATAGAACCTTTTTTTTACTTAAAAACTCACTTTGAATTTTGAACACCGACCCAATTCATTTGACAGAACATCTGAAAAACATTTTTTAAAAATTCTACCTTAAGATTTTCGCTCTGAAAAAAATTGATCACTTGTCCACTTACGTTTTTACAATAAACGTTTATCGACAAATTCCAAAGTACAAATAGTTCCATCCAATCAGTACCGAATAAATTCGTAGCATTTTTAATACGTAAGCTTTAGTTTTTACTACGGAATGAGACATTACAAGTCATTTCTCAAAAAAATAAAAATTATCACCAGAAACTGAAATCGCGACTTTGGAAGTCTTTTTAAATAAAGGACTTCTAATTTCCTTCCAAGTAGTTTCACTGATTATCGAAATATCATTACCAGTTTCACGCCAACATTATTTATTTTTACATTCATGAATTTCCTTTTGCTTTTTGTGACCTGTTTTTCCATCGCAACACGAATAAGAATTTCTTCCTGTTATATTTTTTCTTGGTTTGGTTTTGCAGTGGGACTTTATATGTCCACTTTTGCCACACTTGTAACATTCTGCATTATTAAATGGACAATCATTTCCAAGATGTAATTTATCACATCTGAGAAGGATTTGTTCTCCTTTCTGTACATTTGTCCTTTGCTCGTATCAATACAAATTCTTTTTTTTTAATTTTTTTTTTTTTTAGCATCGTGTTTCAGACTTAGAATCGTCTGGCAGTCGTCAACTATTTCTTGCAGTGTAATATTACTGTTTTTTCAATCATCGTTAAAATTTTCGCTCATATTTCACCGTCGTTTTTAACTGTTAAACCATGAACGAAAAAAACCTTTGAACATATCTGGAGTTATTTCCTTTATTCTAAAATTTACACATTCTTTGTTGACGATACCAGCATAAGTGACAAAATGTTCGTTCTCTTTTTGGTTAGATCCATGCACTTTCAACGAGCATTAAACAGAAAGCTTGTCACTAAATATTTTCTTCAGAAATTGTACGGTAACTTCAAACCTGATTTCACCTGTTTTTTTCTCGGTAATATGTATTTTTATACTTCATCAGAGCGATTTTCCTCAACACCAATCTCGTTTTTCTCTCATTTTCCCAGTCTCTGCATTCCTCACTGAATATTTGTTCATATCTACGAAAATATCTCATCAGTATTGTATACAAATTCTGATATGGTGTTTGAACAGTGTCTGGAGTAAGAGACGTTGAAGATTCTTTTGTTTTCTTCAGAATTATATTTAACAACTCCTGTTGCTGTTTTTGTAGTTCTAGCAACTATTGATTTTGCTGTTGTTGCTGTTTCTGTTGTTGAAGTTCAAATATCGAAGACAAAATTTGCTCCATATTCGCAAGAATATCTTGTTTTTGTTTCCTATATCCAAGAATTTTTTCTTGTATACAACAAGATTTTTTTAAAACCAACGTGGTTAAAATTCTTGTCTTCACCCGTATCCTCTTTCCAGAAGTAACAAGTATATTTTTCCGTATTTGTTCACTCTGTATGAGTTTCCAAAATCCTTATCACTCCAGTTACAACTCGTATGAGTTCCTGAATCCTCGTAACTGTTATAAATCACTTGAGTTCCGAATCCTCGTCGCCACTGTTATAACGCACTATGTAGCGCTTATAATAGAAGTAATGCTTCGGTTACTTGCCGTGATGCCTGTATTAATTAGTCTGAAGACTGACCCCAAACGGCTTCTTTTTCTTTCTTCTTACCTGGAGCTCTTTATTTATAGTTATGGACTAATTAATATAGTCACTGGCCGGGGGGGTACTATTTACTCCACAACAGTTTTATGACATATTAATCATTTCTCGGTTATTTAACACCAAATTCTGTGCTTAGTATAAACAATAGATAGATAGACCTAAGAATAGTTTAAGCCAAAAAGATAGATAGAGCTAAGAATAGTTGAAGCCAAAAAGATAGATAGACCTAAGAATAGTTGAAGCGAAAAAATTCACACATGGTTACGGTTTGCACAAGAGTAAAAAGGAACCCCCCCCCAAAAAAAAATAACCAAAAAAACAAACAAAAAAACAGACGTAGGTTCGATTTACACGGGAGGAAAAAGATAGTCCGGTTTGCATATGAATAAAAAAAAAGCATACATTTGTCTGATTTGAACAATATTAAAAAATAAAAGTAGACTAAAGTCTGGTTTGTCCGACAATAAAAAAAAGATCTATCAATGTCCGGTTTGCGCGAGAGTTAAAAGGTTGTTATGGTAATTTACCCACGCACGCATGTACTTTCCCAGCTATTAATAGGAGCAGGTACTGCCTTTTGGAGAGGGAAGTTTCCAGCAGTCAGCTCTGACAGTCAGACCGAACATTCTTGCAGCAACACTCTCGTTTGTATATGTTTGTATTACTGTTTCTGCTAATATATTTATTTAACTCAATTCCTCTCTTTGTGTCTTTATTGCTGACCCTAACAAGGCCACAACAAAGGTAGACTTAGGTACAATATACAGAGGATCCATTTTTTGGTGGGGGGGGGGGGCTTCACCTCAGTTGGCAGGGCGTTTGTTAGGAAATATAAATAAGTGTTGTAAACTAGAAAGGGTTACTTAATGAGGAATAACCAAAGCGGAAGTTGGAAATGAAATAGTAATCTTTATAACATGAAAAAAATGAATACTCGCCAGCGCCGTGAAGTAGGTAAACCACTGCTAGTAGTGGACTACTTAGACAGCGTATTAACCTGATTTACAATAGTGTCCAACGTATTTATGAGGATTGGGACATACTCATTAGTGTTCATAGGTATGGTATGTAACAATAAGTAATTAAACAAAAACAGATAAATCACAGTATTTAAAAATATCCGAATTTAGCTCAAGGCGGTGGAATGTAGAATTTGAAAGTTAATTTTTTGTAATTTCGATGAGATAAGCAAATGTTGGAATGCAGCTCTGGTTGCAAATGCTATCTCTTTGAGGTTGGTGCTATGCAGATTATTTAGGAAAGCTTCCGAAGAAAAGGCTCTGTTTTTTTTATTCAGATGAAATGTATTCGTTCTCGTGACGAAAAGAAAAAAAAAGACAAGAAAAGGTGAACAGATAAGTAAAGAAAGAAAAAAGTAGAAAATAAAATTAAAAAAATGCTTTGTCGCAACGAGAGATGGAGAGAGCTAAAATTAGTAGAGTATTAATGAGAAGAGGGAAAGAAGAAAGTGAGAGAGGGAGAGAGAGACAGTGTGTGTGTGTGTGTGTGTGTGTGTGTGTGTGTGTGTGTGTGTGAGAGAGAGAGAGAGAGAGAGAGAGAGAGTGGGGAGCCTAATTTCAGCTATTTATAAGTTATATTTTGATCCGTAAAGTACCCCGGGTATCTTCGTTGCGGGAGCGGTTTCTTTTCATCTGTTGTTCAAGGGCTGGACACTTTTTTATCCTAAAAATGATCACAGTTTTTATATCTTCCAAGCAAAGTAAATATTTTTGCTCTTTTTTTTTTTATAAAGCTCAGTGATTATACTAGGGTCATTTAATAAATAAGGTGAATTTTTCGGTATAAGGACTTCTAATACAGATAGAAGCTTACTTTTTTTTAATTTTCCACGTAGTCTCCCCGCACTGTCACGCACTTTTCCCATCTGTGCACAACCTTCCGTATTCCCTCAGCGTAAAAATCTTTGGACTGATGTCTCAGCCATTCGCTCACAACACTTTTGACTTCATCGTCACTTTTAAACTTCGTGCCTCTCGTGAACACTTTCAAGGGACCAAACAGGTGAAAGTCTGAAGAGGCAAGGTCTGGGCTGTAAGGAGGATGAGGGAGCAGTTCCCAGCCCAGCTCATTGATGGTCTGCACCGTTTGGGCTGCTGTGTGAGGCTTTGCGTTGTCATGATGCAAGATGACTCCTTCTGACTGATGACCCCTGCGTTTGTTCTTTATGTCTTTCTTGACCTGCCTCAGTAGTTCACAGTAGTTCTTCTGTCAGACTGAATGAGGTCATTGACTGATTCGATCACCTCAGGAGACCTCACTTCTGTAGGCCTCCCAGGCCTGTCTTCATCCTCAATACTGCTCCGTCCTTCTTTAAACAATTTAGCCCTCTTGTAGACATTTTTTTTTGCTGAAACATGTTGCACCATACACAGTTGACATTCTCCTATGAATTTCAACTGGTTTGTACCCTTCAGCAACCAAAAACTTGATAACTGACCACTGTTCAATCCTGGAGCATGCGTCTTGGTCGGCCATCTTTGTTAATCGCCGAAACTCTCAAAGTTTTTTTTTAATCTGCAAAAGAAATTAAATCCATGTGAAAAAGAAGTAAAACAAAACAAAAAATAAATAAAAAAAAAAATAAACTTCTGTCTGTATTAGAAGTCTTTATACCGAAAAATTCACCTTATTTATTGAATGACCCTCGTATCTTCAATGTGTATCCTCGTAAGGCAAAGAAAATTTAGTTTGACACAGATTTCTTACGGCTGTAATTGTAATAGAAGATAAAAGATTTGATAGGGCACCCTTCCGGAAACAAAGATGGACGATATCTACCATATTCTACCGACTGCTCACCAAGACCATATCATTTATCACTTTTATTTTCGATGTTGAAAATATTTTGTGTCTAAAATTTCTATCAAAAGTAAGAAAACGGTTTGACATTGCTAATCATGTTAGAGTAACGGCTGTCAGCGCTGTAAGTAGAATTGACGGCTCGAGTTCGAAGTCCTGCCTAGACTTGTGCAAATGTCCTTGGGAAAAGTATAAATCTATTTCTTCACCCAGAGTTATGCGTTAAATAGTGGGTTAGCCGTCAGTGGCTGCCATACTCGGAGAAGGATTTTGGGTGATTCTACGATGTCAATATTTGTTGGATTATTTAATGTGGAAATCAGTTGTTTTTTCTTAGAATTGAATCTATAAGCATTTGCTGGTTTTCAAGAATAGATCCTTATTGGTTGTTTTATATTTTAATACAGTGATTCCTCAACTTTTTTTTCTGGGCAGTATTTTTGGAATGAAAATTTTTTGGCGTCTCACTAAATTTTATGTGATAAAAATTCCTTTTTTCAAAAAAATGAGAGAGGTTTATAAAGGGAGATAACTGCGGATTCGAAGTCAGAACGTTATTATTGATGACTCTCTCTCCCAATTTGCGGAGGCTAGTTACTATATTCTTGATACTTGATATAATGCAAAAATATCAAAATGTCAATAATTATATATAACTATTCATATTGGGAGTCATGCATGGAATTACTAGTAATTCATAATAATATTTTAAATTTTGAAATCATATTTATTTTTGGTATACACATTTTTGAAATTGTTTCTAAGTTTTTGATAGCTTTTCACACATTCCGCCTCACCTGATATCCTCTTCCGTCCCACCTGCTATCCTCTTTTGCCTCACCTGATATCCTCTTCCGCCTCACCTACTATCCTCTTCCGCCTAACCTGCTACCCACTTCTGCCTCACCTGCTACCCTCTTACGCCTCACCTGCTATCCTCTTCCGCCTCACCTGATACCCTTTTCCGCCTCACCTGATACCCTCTTCCGCCGTACCTATGGGGCGCGTTGCACCGTTTAGGAACCACTACTTTAAGCATTGGTTTCGATTGGCGGTAGACCATTTATATTTGAGTTTGTAAGAATTTATTTTGTAGGTGGTTTCTGTTGATAAGGTTCTTACCATTCTGCTAGGGTTGCAATCGATATTTAACTCAGCACCGCTGACTGGACAGCAGAAGGATTACTCAGATTTACAAGCCACGGAAGAGAAAATGGAAAACCATTTCACTCAATTTCCCAAGAAGACATGGCAATTCCCAGATAATAAAGAAAAGGAATCAGTGGAGAGTCAAGATCGCCTACGCCATGAAGATACATGAAATTTAAAAAAAAAAAAATAGTGATTATTTTCATGATTAATAAATTAAAATGTACTTTTTTCAAAAATCAGTATCCCCCCCCCAATTAAGGCAGTAATGCCACTAAAACACACGGGGTTACAGGGTGTGGAAAAATTAAGAACAGAAACATTAATGGTGAGAAGAAAAAGAAGAGAATAATCAGATGGATAGTAGATAGCGATTGACATTGCATTTAAATTTTTGCAGATTAAAGTTGGCTGGAAAGCTTGGAGCCGGAAGGGACTTCCAGGAGTAAGGCAGTAAAGCCACTAAGACATAACGGGTTACAAGGTGTGGAAGAATTAGAAACAGAAAAATTAATAAGGAGCGGGAAGAGGAAAGTGTAATCAGAAGGAGAGTAGATAGTGACTAGCATTGCATTTAAATTTTTGCAGATTAAGTTGACTGGAAAGTATGGAACCGGAAGGGAGTTCTACAAGCGAGAAGTACAAGAGAAGAAACGGTTAGCATAGAATTTACGGTTCCATCTAGCCAGCTCAATTGTCAATTGATAAGATCTCGATGCCAGTCTAGTGCTGTGCTTAAATCCAAAATCTGTAGATGCCATAGTGAAGAGCTCATTTGAACACATATCATGAAAATATTTATAGAAAAGACAAAGAGAGGCAACCTTACGGCGGTGGGAAATTGGTTGGATCCGATCTGCTACATCAGGACCAATAATATTGCTGATTCTTCTATGGATCTTATCAAGGAGCTCAAAGTAAATAGCGAGGTCACCGGACCATATGTGGCAGCAATATTCTAAGCATGGACGAATGATAGACTTATCGATATGTAAGATAGATTCTGTGTCTCGCCCGACATAGGGAACCGACTTTCTTAGCAACTGATCTAGCAATGGATTCTTGCACTTAAAAAGCTTTCTCTTTCTTCTCTAAAAATGCGTTATCTTCTTAACAATGTAATAATAAAGATCATTTTGTTGAATTACAATTTCAAAACTATCTATCTATATCTATATCTCTGAGATGAGGTATTAATGATTACATTATTTACATTATTTGGACTGCTATCCTCATCTTCAAACGCTTCGGCCATTCTCCAGGCACCTTAGCAAATAGCTCATTTGAACACTTACCATGAAAGTACTTATAGAAAAGATAGAAAGAGGCAATCTTACAGCGGTGGGAAAGTGACTGGAGCCTAGCCGCCAGATCAGGACGAATAATATTGCTGATTCTTCTTGGGATCTTATGAGGGAGTTCTAGGTAAGTAGCAAGTTGAGTTAAAGGGCTATAACTGAGACATCCGGAAGAGTCATGACACGTAGAACTAGAACAATCTACCGCGTTGGACGAAATAAAGGGTTCGAATCGGAATTCCAATCACCTGAAGAAGGCCGAAGAGTAGAACGGCTGAAATGTTGTGAATGTGGCAATGAAGATGAGAATAACAGTCCGAATAATGTAAATAATCATGATACCCCATCTCAGAAATATAGACAGATTTTAAAGGCATGGCATGTTGAACTAGAATAACCTGCCGCACTGTACGAAATAAAAGATTCGGTTCGAAATTCCAGTCAACTGAAGAAAGCTGGAACGTATAACGGCCGAAACGTTATGAACATGGCAGTGAAGATGAGGATAATATTCCGAATAATGTAAATAATCATGATACTTCATCTCAGAGATATAGACAGATATTAAATGCATGGCACGTGGAACTAGAACAATCTAGCCCCGTGGACGAAATAAAGGATTCGGTTCGAAATTCCAGTGACCTGAAGAAGGCCGGAACGTACAACGGCCGAAACGTTGTGAATATAGCAGTGAAGATGAGAATAACATTCCGAATAGTGTAAATAATGCAAGCATTTCAAAAGTAATTTTCTCGATGCCCAACTTCGGCGTGAACTCAAATATGACGTCATTACCTGCGTTTTTTTTTTTTTTCTCAGTCAGTTAAATAATGGTTTGAGGAGATATAGTTGTCTCTCTTCCGTAAGATGTTATGTTATCTATTTTTACTTGCAGTTCGGCCGACGCCCAGTCCAGCAGGGGTGAGCTCCGTTCCTATGAGGAAGCTGCCCAGATCTACAGTACTATTTCCCGAAAATATGACGCCCGTATTCGACCTCCATCCAATCATTCAGAACCGGTGATCGTCTCGGTTGACGTCAGACTTAATTTTATTTATTCGTTCAACATTCAAGAACAAACACTTAATTCGTTGGTCAGCCTGAACTTGGTAAGTGTAACCCACCACATATCTGTAATGAAAGCAAAAGAGAGAGAGAGAAAGAGAGAGGGGGGTAATAAGGGAGAGACAGATGGGTGAGAGAGAGAGAGAAAGAGAGAGGGGAAAGTTGAGAGAGGGGGAAAAGGGAAAAGAGAGAAAGAGAGAGGGGAAAGTAGAGAGAGGGAAAGAAGGGGAGAGAGAGAAAGAGAGAGAGGGAAATAAGGGAGAGAGAAAGGAGAGAGAGGGAAATGAGGGAGAGACAGAAGGGAGAGAGAGAAAGAGAAAGGGGAAAGTAGAGAGAGGGAAAGAAGGGGGAGAGAGAGAAAAGAGAGAGAAATGAGGGAGAGACAGAAGGGAGAGAGAGAAAAGAGAGTTTTATTTTTTCTTAGAGAGAGGGAAAAGGGGAGAGAGAAAGAGAGAGGGGAAAGAGAGAGGGAACGGAGAGAGAGAGAAAGAGAGAGAGAGAGGGAAAGAAGGAGATTTTTAGAGAGAGAGTCAATGAGGAAGAGAAAAGGGAGATAGAGAAAGAGAGAGTGGAAAGTAGAGAGAGGGAAAGAAGGGAAGAGAGAAAGGGAGAGGGGAAAGTAGAGAGAGAGAAAGAAGGGGGAGAGAAAGAGAGAGAGGGAAATAAGGGAGAGAGAGAAAGGAGAGAGAGAGGGGGAAAGTAGAGAGAGGGGAAGAGAGATAGAGAGGGAAATAAGGCAGAGAGAGAGAAAAAGAGTTAACCTCAAACTGAGGGAGGGAAAAGGAGAGAGAGAGAGAGAGAGAGATTTTTCCTAGGAAAGAAGGAGAGACAGAAGGGAGAAAGAGAGAAAAAGAGAGGGGAAATAGAGAGAGGGGAAAGAAAGGGAGAGAGAAAGAGAAATAGAGAGCGAAATAAGGGAGAGAAAGAAGGGAAGAGAGAGAGAGAGAGAGAGAGAGAGAGCAGAAGTTGTGCAAAACATTGTAATTACGTCCTTTTCAAGAAACTGTTAAAATTTATTGAAACAGTCCACATGTTAGTCATAAAAATGACACTAATTAAATTTTATTCATGTCGAAAGGTAAACTGAATTAGTAAGCTTACCTGAAGTTGTCTTAACAAGAACAACAAAAACAAGAAAAAAGAAGAAGAAAACTGATGAAGATGATGATAATTATGATGGTCCATATTTTTATTTTTTTACAGTAGTGATCACACTGTACCCTGGAGCCACTCAAGGTAGAGGGTTACAAATCTTAAACAAAGGAAAGAAGAAAATAAGAAGGAAATGGACTTAATAAGATTATAAGTATGTTACTTGAACATACCACGATACGCTATGATTCTTAAAAGACTCGTTCAATAACTTCCTAAGAAAATCTTTCATTTCACCTTAATTCTCAGGCAAAACACTAGGTAAATGAACAAACATCGAATAAAAAAATGAGTAATAATAATAATAATGATGATGGCTGATACAATTAGTTAAACAACTCGAAAACTTATGATGAATGGCCAATATCCAGAACGAGGCTAATAAAGCCGACGTTGATAAAGTTAACACTCATCGATGGTTACGAGAATTTGGATTAAAGGCTGAAACGGAAGGCTTTATTCTTGCTACCCAAAGGAATATAACTACAGTGTAACCCGGATATAAGAGAAACCCGGATATAAGAGAGATTTTCTCTGGTCCCAAATTAGAGCCTGTGTTAATGTATATAAAATAGACCAAACCCGGTTATAAGAGAAACCCGTATATAAGAGACTTATATGTACTTACACTGTACAATGCGGAGTGAATCAAACCAGAAGATGAACGAATGATGGATAAACCGCGACAAGAAAATCTTTCATTTTACTTTAGTTCTCAGGTAAATGATTCGCCCAAACAGCGAATAAAAATGAGGAATAATAATAATAATAATAATAATAATAATAATAATCTGCAACTTCTACGGGAAGGAAAACTGAAAGAAACTGGTATGAACACCAATCAGACCCGGTTACGGATATAGGACCTGTTACAATTCTATGGGACTACACAATACACACTGACAGAACAATCAAAGCCAACCGCCCAGATATTGTTATTAAAGACCACAAACAAAAACGGTGCCTCCTTGTTGATATGGCAGTCCCTGCTGACTGCAATGTATCTTTGAAGATATTCAAAAAGTTGTCAAAATACAAGGACCTTGAAATCGAAATCTCAAAATTGTGGCATATGGGAACATCAACAATCCCTGTTGTAGTTGGAGCTCTAGGACTGGTTGGAAAAGATTGCAGTAGATTAATTGAAGGGATTCCTGGAAGTCCATGCCTCAAGGAGATACAAAAAATTGTTCTGACAAGTACAGCCCACACTTTACGAAGGGCTTTAACTATGTAATTTTTTTTTTTTTTTTTTTTTGTGGAAAGTGTCATGATGCCATTTCTAACCTTAGGTCCCTGGGCGGGACCCGGAAAGAAATGTGTAAACGCCAGAAATCAAAGAAAATAAAAATAATAATAATAATAATAATGATGATGGCTGATACAATTAGTTAAACAACTCGAAAACTTATGATGCATGGTCAATATCCAGAACGAGGCTAATAAAGCCGATGTTGATAAAGTTACCACTCATCGATGGTTACGAGCATCCGGATTAAAGGTTAAGATTGAGGTGGTCGGAGAAGCAGCCTCTTGGTTAGTCGGTTCTACAATGCAGCTGTACATGGAAAGAAGTTGCTTGAACTTACATCTCTCCAGAAGAATTCGAAGGGAATGAGGGTGGTTCGCTACAATGGGCGTGGCATGGCGGGTTTTAGCCGTGAAGGGGTTAGAACTGGTGGAACTAAAGAGTGTAGTTCATCTAAACATTCAGCAACGGAAATAGAGCAGTGAAAGGCTTGCGATGTCTCGTCTGTAAGAAAGGGGTTAAAGAGAAGAAAACAATTCATCGCCTACAAGGACGCAGAGACGCTTTTGGACTCTATCAAGAATATAAAATAAAAACTGAACAACTCCCGTCCATATTTGGCCTGATATATTTAGGTTAAGGTTTGTTTTACGGCCTATTAACCTCAATGGGTTATTGAATCCCGACAAGATTTTTATTGCTGGTAATACTTTTTCCAAAATTATAATGTTGATAATATTTTTCTTCAGAAATTCATTGCTGGTAATATTTTTTTCTTCAAAAATGTATTGCTGGTAATATTTTTTTCAAAAATATATTGCTGGTAATATTATTCTTTTTCAAGAATGTACTGCTGGTAATAATGTATTGCTGGTAATATCTTTTCATAAAAAGTATTGCTGGCATCAAAAAAACAATTTTTATACTTTCATAGTGTTTTGACTCCAGTTTGGGGATAACTATTTGCCCATAACTGGGATCCTGACAGGTGCTACCACCCTGGGTTAAGGTGGATATAGGAACACCGGCAATTAAGAGGTAGTTCCACGCTCCTCAAAACCTCCTGATCAGACACCTTGTTGTTGGATGTAGTTTATCGTCTTACCCAGGACGGAAGTAGTTTATTGATATTTTCGACCCAATCTGGATCTTGTAAAGTTAGAAGAGAGTAGGAGGAGTAAGGTACTTACTGGAACGGCACAGAAAACTGACCTGATACACATTTTTAAGACTGGGTGTCATGATAGGTATATTGGACTTCGGATACTTTTTATTCAAACCTCACTGTGTTAGCGTGCTTTTCTCGAAATTATTATTATTATTATTATTACTACTACTACTACTACTACTACTACTAATAATAATAATAATAATAATAATGAATGTGGCACATGGGAACATCAACAATCCCCGTTGTAGTTGGAGCCCTCGGATTGGTTGGAAAAGATTCCACTAGACTAATTGAAGGGATCCCTGGAAGCCTATGCCTTAAAGAAATACAAAAAATTGTTCTCACGAACCACACCTTACGAAAGGCTTTGTCTATGTAAATTTTTATTTATTTATTATTTTTTTCCAGTAGAAAATGCCATTTCTAACTTTAGGTGTTGTACTCTGTACTTTTCAACCCATGACAATTGCCTCATAGTTATGAGAAAATGTTATAGCCTCTCATAAAAATACTGAAATGCCCTCAACAAGTCGTTAGGTCACGTAACATGATTTGACCTCTCACTGCAAACGACTGCCTTTATCTTAGATGACACCCTTCAATCACTTTTCAACTCATGGCCATTCACAGATAATCATAAGAAAAGTGACATGGCCCCTCATAGAAATACTGTAATGACATCAACAGATCATTAAGTGACGAAACATGATTTAACCCTTCATGACAAACAATCGTGTTTATTTAAAATGATCCCCATTAAAATTCCTCTCTGTGTCGCACTCTCTTTTGTCTCTCTACGCCCTTCTCTCTCTCTATTTCTTTCAGTTTTACTCTCTATGTTCGTCTATCTTTCTGTTTCCCTCCCTGAAGTTCCGTAACAAATTCGCGAAGATAAAAAAAAAAAAAAAAAAAAAGAAAGATTTTAATTTCAAAAGGTCATTTGCCGTTCAGTGGCGATTTTATCCTCGACAGGTCGTCAGGTTACAAAACATGATTTAATCCCTCACTACAGACAATCACTTGACCTCCAACCACTGAAATCACTCCCTTTTTGTCTCTCTACGTCCTTCTCTCTGTCTTTCTCTCTCTTTTTTTTTACACTGTGTTTCTCTCTCATTCTCTTAGTATCTATGACATCAAGTGCAATACACACACCTTACAGATGCACGGATGTATTAAGGAACAGAGACGCCTTTGGTCTCTATCAAGACTGAGAAATGAAGACTTTTCAGCCAGCCCCTGTTCATTTACGAGACAATCTTCGGTCTGATCTGTCTATAAGATAACAGGAGGTGTCAGGTACTTACTGGAACGGTACAGGGAGCCGACCATTTTTCCAGCATCAGTATGTACGATTTCCACTTGAGATTTAGATGGCAATTCTATCTCAACAGATCCCTTTTAGCGAGAGAAAGCGATAGATATAGACATAGATATATACAATTTACATTATTCAGACTATTGTCTTCATCTTTGTTGCCATATTTGTCAAAACGTTTCGGCCGTTGTACGCTCCGGCCTTTTTCAGGTGGTTGGAATGTCGAACTGAACCCTTTATTTCGCTCTCTATGGTAGACTGTTCTAGTTCCACGTGTCATGTCTAATGGATGTCAGTTATAAGTTGTCTCCTGTTAATTCACCTCTCCAAGTTCTCCACAGCCTTAGCCAGGTATTGAACTCACAACACTTTGGCTCCTGTCGCCGGATCTAACCAACGCCTTTATCCACGGTGCCATGTGTTCTTAAGAACAGCTGGATAACTATTTTTATTCTTATTTGGAAATTATTTTTCACTGTAATTTCGTGGTTCTTTTTCCAGAGTTGGTCCGATCGACGTCTTGCTTGGTACCCGAACAACATCCTCAAAGTTATTGTCAACCAGAACCTGATATGGGTACCCAATATTTCTTTTTTTAACGGGTATGTATACCTCGTGAATCGCCATAGACCTTTATAAGAATATCCGAATGTTTCGATTTTTATTACTCTTTTAACCCTTTCAGCTCTGCGTTCCTGAACAATTTTAATGCTTCTGATTGAACTCCTGAGTCAAAATTCACAAATAATTGGTATATAATTTTTCACAGTAGATATAAAAAAAAGTGTTTACCCACCGTTCAACCGGGGGCTGGTCATTAAGTCATTTTTCTCTACCACTGTTAAACCAGTGGCTGGGCATTACGTCACTTTTGTCTACCACCGGTAATGCGGTGGTCAAGGCTCAAAGAGTACTTTTTATAGACATTGAGAAACAAGAAAAACTCCCTGTACTCAAAGGACTGCGAATAAATATTATCGAATTCTGGATATGAGCTTGGAAAAAAACTTCCTGGCGTTTTAAAGTCAATTTCAGTGACAATTAGATATACGGTGGAGTAATTGATAGCGGCTCGGATTGAGGAATCAGGGAGCCGAGTTCGAATTTCAGTCGAATCCATTACATGCATTTACGTGCTAATACCCTTCGGAAAGGTATGAATTCCCTTTCTCTCCCCCCCCCAGTTATAGTTAAATAGCAGGACAGACCGGGTTCTATTGCCTTGGATGGCAACTGGTCTACCGCAGAAAGAAATGGCAACCTACTGAGGGAAAAAATCTGCCTTGTCAGTCATGTATCGAAAGATACATGATTGCCTAAGCGTGTATCACGCATGGCACATAACTGACTGATATATGGGCCTTTTGTTTTACTAGGTTCCGCCATTTTTGGTGGGAAGGGGGCAGCTTCATGATTATAGCCTCCCAGAACTTGCCATTTTTCTGAGTCATAAACTTGTCTAAGTGGTTTTTGCAGGCTTTCGGAGTTTTTAATTTCTTCAAATTAAGAGGATTTTGTAAGAATCGGAAAAATGATAATCCGAAGATACAAGTTCAGGTGAGTCAGGCAGGTGTACTAGAATATTCCAACCAAACTGCATCAATTTCTGCTGGGTCTACGAACAGACGTGAGGTCTGTCGTTTTCCTGATGGAAGACTATTCACATCCTGATTGGCAAATTCCGGACGCTTTACATCGATTGCAGCCGTTCATCAGTTGAAATGGGAACAGACTGAGTTGCTACGTGACATCTGTTCCCCTTTACGGCAACGAATGTTGGACGACCTCCTCAAAGAATGAAGAAGAGATTTGAGTCGGCGGAGGTATGTTTCTACAGAAGGATGCTGAGGATATCATGGACCGAGCGTGTGAGAAACGATGAGGTTTTGAAGAGGATGCAAACAAGGAGGAGGCATATACTTAAAACCAGGAAAAGGCAGACGAAATTTCTGAGACAGGTAATGAGAAAGGAGGGCTTGGAGAATCTGATACTCACAGGTCGAATAGAGGAAAAGAGAGACAAGGGAAAGCAACGCATGACATAGCTGGCGGGTTTGAGCAAGTGGATGACAGAACATGGCCTGGGGGAAGTAGCAAAGGGATAAAACTTATAAAGAATTACAAGTGACAGGATGATGTGAAGGGCCATGATTGCCTACGTCCTGAAGGGACACGGCACATAAAAAGAAAAACTCGTCTGAATTGAATGCCTGATTTTACAGAAGCACTTCATAATGCCCAATGTCTTTCCAATCTCAACCAGATACACACCCTCCCCTCTTTAGAATCTCTTGTCTTTGTTGATCTGACCAAGGTCTTTGATTCCATAGAGATACCCCCTGGACTGTTCTCGGTAAGATTGGATGTCCTCCAGATTTTGTAAGAAAGTTACAATAATTTCATCGGGAGATGAAAGGAAAACTTAACTTCAATGGGTCTCTATAGAAACACATAAACATTGAATGACTTACGGCCGCATCAAGTGGCAACATTGGTTCCCGTACGGTCACGTTAAACAACGTAGAGCCTGGTCAGTACCTAGATGGACTTCCGTTTGACAATACCAGGTGCTGTAAGCTTGGATGTGCGGGTGGTGTAATGGATAAGGTTCGAAATTGTTAATTGGAGAGCCGAGTTCCAATTCCAGTTAAGTTCATTATATTCATTTACGCACAAATACTTTTGGGAAATGTATGAATTCACCTCTTCTTCTCCCATCTATAGGTTAATCAGTAAGACGTGTCGCTAAATCATTATTATCCCCAAAACAATTCTTACAATCTAAGTATATTTTCTGGCTTTAAATAACCTGCAAATGGTTGATAAGCCGTAAAAAAATTAATGAACCAATCATGCATGTCTTTAGATTTATTTATATTCTCTGGAATGCATAGAAGCTATCTTGGTCACAAATTGAGGCAACAGTTTATATATTGACTGTAATAGAGAATTGATCCTCCACTTTATGTCCACACTATAATTTCTTGTTTGTTAATCAAATTGCGATTAGGCATGAATCTACCTCTTCTTCCCCTCAGCTATGGGTTAATTAGTAAGACTTGTATCACTGAATCATCATTATCTCCTAAAAATCATTCTTACAATATTTTCTGGCTTAGAGTGGTTAATTGGAGAGCCGAGTTCCAATTCCCGTTGGGTTCGTTATATATCAATTACGATCATATACTCTAAGGAAAGGCATGAATCCACGTCTTTCCCCAGCTTTGGGTCAATTAGTAATACTTATATCACTAAACCATTATTATCTCCAAAACAAGAAAAAAATCTTCGGAACATAACTGAGGAAGGTTGAACAGTTTATAACATAGAAGCGATGTAGTTTTGATGTAATGGATAACGGCTCAGAATGAGAAATCGAAGAGCCGAGTTCGAATTCCGGGTGGGTTCGTTACATATACGTTTGCTCATACCTTGGTAAAGGTATGAATCCATTTTTTCTCCACCCCCTCGAGCTATGGGTTGAATAGCAGGACAGCCTGAGTCCAATAACCTTGGTTGGCAACAAGTCTACTACAGAAAAACGGCAGCCAACTGCGGGAATATCTTCTGCTTAGTCAGTCATGAATCGCCCAAGAGACATAATCGTTCAAGCGTATATCACGTATGGCACTTAACTGACTGACTGACTGAACATGGTAGCAAGTTGCAATTAATGCGATTTAAGATTCCAATATACATAAAATCGTAAACTTCTGACCATTATAAAGCTGTCATATAGTCGTATGTAATGCGATTGTAAGATAGCTGGTCTAGAGCATAATTTCAGTCGTGTAGTCTATTTACGTCTCATTGGCTATTCCACAGCTATGACATTGAATAAGACTGACCTAAGTTATTGAATCATTTGTAATTTCCTAAGACATTCTGGAAATGTTTTTGTTCGTGACTTTATAAAAAAACTTTTTCTGAAAAGTTTTAACAATATATATTTCGGCTGATACTAAATGTTACAAATTTTAATAATTACGCCAGCATCTCAATTTTTAAATGTCATTTATTTTTTTTTTAATTTATTTTAAAGAATAGGGATTTAAAAAAAAAATAATTAAAAAAAAATTATAGAATTGAAGAGTTAAGTTCAAGTTCCGGTTGAATCTGTTGTGTTCCATTTCACGCTTAACTACATTTGTTCTTTTGGGCCCAGTTAGATGTTAAAGAGCAAGGGAGCCTGGGATGGCAGCCAGTCTAGAAAAAGTACTACAAGGAATTCAAAACCGTGAAGAAGGCAATGAGAAACCGTTTCCAATGACTATCTTTTCCAAGAAAGATGGTAATTCTTGGCAATTCACAGATAATAAAATAGGAGTCTGTGGAGGGCCATAATCGCCTACGCCGAGGGAAAAAAAAAGCTTGGATTTTTTTAGAAAAGGAAACGGGGCGTTCCGGCCTAGCCCATTTGGCGTCGCTGATTCGGCGTGGACGATTCGGCGTAGCCGAGTCGATATTGGAATTTTTCGGCGTCAGATTACCACTTCGTCGTTATCGTCAAATTTTTCCTCTCTCTCTTTCTATTTCTCTCTCTCTTTCTCTCTTAGTAGTCAAATTAGTACTTTATCAATATATGCTCGAATAGAGCAATTTAAGGAAAAGAGTAGTTGGAGGCATTTTTATATTTAAGAAAAGGAGTAATTGAAAATCTAAAATCAAGGTCCATGGAATTCTAAATAACATAACAGCAATCAGGCCGAAGCTGCCAATCGACATTTGCAATATGAGCTTAGAAATCATCATCCTTCAATCTGGAAATGAAAATATTCATAAGAATGTTGAATTCCTGAAGGGTGTTGTTCATTATTACGAAATGAAGAAGTAATTTCTAAGATTTAATAGCTTTACTAAGATTTTTAATTAATTTTTTAGAAACAGTATTTTTAATTTAAGTTTTTAATTTACATTATTCCATTAGTGTTTTAATAGTATCCTTAATTCCCTAACTGAATAAAAAGTCATATTGAAAGTTGGGTGGTTTCAATGCTTTTCTCCCTTTTTGGGGGATTTGCCTCCGGTCAAAAACAGTGAGGTCGAAACAGCCTGACGCCGAAATGGGTTTGCCGATTAGCCCAATTGTTTTTCTGACGCCGAATCAGCCAAATGAGCGACGCCAAAACGTACCAAATCCTTTTAAGAAACATGAATAAACTATGCTAGATCTTCTAAGAAACTGCGCATTGCTAATCTCGTAAAAATTAAAAGTGTAAATTGAAATTTTATTCTATTTTAAGTTTGAATTTTGGTGATCTTTTGGATGTAGTTGTCTTTTAATGCCTTATTTTATTTTATTTTTATCTTTAAGCCTTTCACTGCCCCAAGAAATTGGAGAGGGTTCCATCCATTTGGAATCCAAAGGCAATGTCTGTTGGTACCGTCAGCTCTCTGTAAAGACGTTTTGTCGTACGGATTTCAATAACCAGACCAACACGTGCGTTTTATCTCTGGGTTCGACCTCTTACCGCAGCAGCGAACAGAAACTTCGATTGAAAAGCTTCACTATTGGCGATTTCCTAGAAGACAATCATTTATGGCTAGTCAATGCAAACGAGAACCACACTGGTGTCTATGAAAACAACGGAATCATCCGGTGTGCCATTGATTTAAGTCCCTTGCAAACAAATTATCCGGCCTACAGTCTGCTACGCAGTTCATCGCCATCTTCGAGGGCAACAAAGATGATCTTTTTTTACCTTGCTGGATTTTTCTTATATCTTGAATTTTTCTGTTAGATTTGCGCTGTTGTTTTTTTTTGTTTTTTTTTTTGTTTTTTTCGCAACATGTAAACTTCTTTGTAAAATATCAAATCGTTTTTTCTCAGTGTGACATTTTTTTTGTCTAAAGTTTTTTTTTTTTCCAAGATTTATTGTAATTCTAATCAAATTCTCTACATTTTCGATGATTTAAAGTCGTGGGTGTGTTTCAAATGATTCCCGGCAAGTTTTATAACTCACACTCTGACTTTTTAACATAATGCATATTACATGCATTTGCATATAGGAGATTGCTTAGCCGTCAATTTGCGTTTTTATTGAGGCACCAGTTCAAGAAACAGCTCCTTCTACCCATGATATAACCCCTGGATGGCCATAGGGAGACCTAGAACTTTATAAGACAGGGGTGTTCAGCTTCCTGATCTATTTTGACAGACTCACATGCCTTAATAAATAAATAAATGAATAATAATCATTTTGACGAAAGTATTGGCTGTCTGAGGGTTTTGTTGAGAAAGATAATTTAATGTACCCTGTGTAATAAAAAAAAACTTAGTGTGTGACAAAACATATAATAATAATAATAATAATAATAATAATAATAATAATAATAATAATCCAACACATTACGAAGGACTTTATCTATGTAAAATATGTGTGTTGTTGTCCTTTGTTTTTTTTTTTTTGTTTGTTAGTTTTTTTTTGTTTTTTTTTTAATTGCTCAGTAGAAAATGTCATGACGCTATTTCTGACCTTAGGTCTCTGGTCGGGACCCGGAAAGAAATGAGTACACACCAGAAATTAAAGGAAATAATAATAATCAATACAGATCGAACAATACAAGAAAATCGCTCAGATATTATGATCAATGACAGGAAATTTTTGACATTGATTGATAGGAGCGTACCAAATGAAAAAAAAAATCTGCGAAAGTTTGTGAAAAACTAAACAAATACAAAGACCTTTAAATGAAAATAGAAAATATATAGCACTTAAAAACTAAAACTATTCCCGTTTGTTGTTATTGGAGCTTTGGGTCTTATAAAGAAAGGAACTTAAAAACAAATCAATAAAATCCCTGGCGCACCATCTGTTTGGGAAATCCAAAAAATAGTTCTAGTAATCACAAATATTTGAGATTTGTCCGTTTAATTTTTTTTTTTTTTTTTTGTTAATTGCTTTCTTTTGTTTAAGTAGAAACAACAAAACAATCGCGTAGTTCGGTTGCCCTAGGTCTTTGGTTACGACCCTGGCAAATGATTATAAAAAAATGCAGGCCAAAAAATAATGTTTTAAAATAATAATAATTGTACTCACAAGTACAGGTCACACCTTACACGAAGGGCTTTATCTATGTATAAACCTGTGTACTTTTGGATTGTTTTATTTTATTTTTTCATAAAAATATTCAGTAGAAAATGTTGTGTTGCCATTTCTGACCTTAGGTCTCTGGTTGGGACCCAGAAGGAAATGAAATTACAGCAGAAATCAAAGAAAAATGGTAATAAATAATAATAATAATAATAATAATAATAATAATAATAATAATCCTATAATTTACAGTCTTCAGATTTGTACATAAAATAAGCTTTAGAGTAAAGGTCTGTAAAAAAACAAATTTCTTTTGATAAATCCAAATATATAATTATAATAATATTAATCTAGTGGAGTCATAGGTAGCATTTAGATAAGTGTTTTGCTTTTCTTTTTTTTTTGTTTTTAATTTGTCAGAAATCAAATCAAATAAAATAATAATAATCAATACAAATCGAACAATAGATCGAACAAGCCAAACGGAAATGTTTTAAATAATAATAATAATAATAATACTTCTATAAAAGAGCGATTTCCAGAAACTAAAAGAAACAGAAGAAAAACAGTGTTTAACAATTTCTCGACAGTATGTCTGTCTTTTTCAAATTATATCTAAAAAAAACAAAAACACAAGAACATATATAAGTATGAAAACAAGTCCATGTACAACGCTTGTATCATCATCATCATCATCATCATCATCATCATCATCATCACCACCACCACCACCATCATGTTTCGGCTTGAAGGCACACTTTAAATCAGTGTTATTTTTCTTCTTCGGTAACTTTCTAAATAACTCTTACCAGTCCTTTCTAAATAACTCTTACCAGTCCTTTCTAAATAACTCTTACCAGTCCTTTCTAAATAACTCTTACCAGTCCTTTCCAAAAACTACGTGTCCTGTGCTAACCCAAGCAAGTGCTACATATCTTCCGAGCTCTTGAAAGATTTTTTTTGTGTTTTTTTATTTACTGTGAATGATGGAATTTTACTGATAGTTCTTTTAATGTCATTGTTCAATGGTTGGTCGTCCAATGCCTATGGCTGTTTTTCTTCCATTTGGTATTCATGATAAAACCATTTCCATCATATTTACTGTTTCCAAAACTATTAAGTTGCGTTGCCTAACTCTAATATTAGTATTAAGTCCTTATTTAATTTTGATTTCTTGGAGACAACATAAATCAATTTTATAACCATCAAGTCAATAATTCTTACTTTTCTTTCCTTTTTTTTTTTCAAGATTCCTCTCACATTAAATGTCCCGATAGCAAAATATTGATATGTGATTAAAGACAAAGAAGAAATTGCCAACGTTTAACGGTTGACGACTGGAGAAGTCATTACCTTCTCCGCCATTTTGCTTGAAGTTGCACGAAATTAACCAACGTGACAAGGCGGAAAAAATGCGGACAGCGTGAATGAAATAAAAAAATAGTCCTTCTAGCATTATAGAAAGAATGGCAGTCGTAAAATTTTCAGTGAGCTGATTAGTAAGAACAATTAATCAGTTTAATGTTCGCCTATAGTCCGGTTCACACTCCTCCACGGTCTTTTGAACAGGAGTAGAGGTTTATCCCTTGTTTCCTTTTTAGGATTGGGTTTCAGGTTTTTTTCCAAAGTCTTTTTATTCTTTTTCACTCCCAGTAGACCGTTAAGCAACATCGAGCCTGATCAGTACTCAGATGGGTGATGGGTTGGGAATAGTAGAGGTTTATCCCTTGTCCCCTGTTTAGGATTGGGTTTCCGTTTCATTTTAAAGTCTTTTCATTCTCTTTCAGTCCGAGTAGCTCGTTAAGCAACATCGAGCCTGGTCAGTACTTAGATGGGTGATGGGTTGGGAATAGTAGAGGTTTATCCCTTGTCCCCTGTTTAGGATTGGGTTTCCGTTTCCTTTTAAAGTCTTTTCATTCTCTTTCAGTCCGAGTAGCTCGTTAAGCAACATCGAGCCTGGTCAGTACTTAGATGGGTGACGGGTTGGGTATAGTAGAGGTTTATCTCTAGTTTCCTGTTTAGGATTGGGTTTCCGTTTCCTTTTAAAGTCTTTTCATTCTCTTTCAGTCCGAGTAGCTAGTTAAGCAACATCGAGCCTGGTCAGTACTTAGATGGGTGACGGGTTGGGAATAGTAGAGGTTTATCCCTTGTTTCCTATTGGATTCCCGATTTCTTCTAAAATCTTTTCATTCTCTTTCACTCCGAGTAGCTCGTTAAGCAACATCGAGCCTGGTCAGTACTTAGATGGGTGACCGATTGGGAATATTAGTGGTTTATCAATTGTTTCCTGTTCAGGATTGGGTTTCTTCTAGTCTTCTCATTCTCTTTCACTTCCGGTGACCCCTTGCACCTTACTTGGAGTGGTACCTCTTATTCTGTAACCCTATACTCGAGTGGCTCTTGGGCCCTGTACAGGTTAAACATCATTAATAAACATTTATATTTATTGAAATTTTTATACTTTTATTCATTCTTGTTTTCTTTATAACTTGTGAAATACAGACATATTGTCGAAATATTTTAAAAATATTTTTAAACACTGTCTCTTTTCTTTAGTTTTCTGGGAATCACACTCTTCTGGAAATGTTGCAGAATATTGGATGAGTTAAGTCAATAATTTCGATTAATAATAATAATAAATGACATAATAATCGTGGAGGCAGAGCTGTTGAAATACAGATGTACGAAGACCTTGCAGGGCAAAAATCGGTGAAACGTATCAGATAGTAGCTGAAGTTGTTCGTTTTTTGTCGTTGGCGCACACTCGGGAATACCTTCGACTTGTCGATATCTGACATCTTTGTGGGTTACACAGGTGGCAGCGCTGGTAGAAACAATCCATGTGCTGAAGAAAGTCTTAATTGTTCCTTTCTCGGGCTTTGAACTGATTCTAACGGTGTGAACTTTTATGGTCAGCAACGCATATTTCTGAAGCGATGGCTTTAAACCGATTTTCCCGATGAAGTTCTTTAATTTTGCTGGTATAGACCCCAATGATAACTGGGAGAGTAATGGCGTGAACGTCCTACATTCTGACAACTTCAAGCCGGAGGTCGGTGTATTTCTTAAGCTTATAAATTTATTTTACCTTGATACTATGGTCACAAGCAACAACCATGTCATTATAAGGAGACGTTTTCTTGTGTCTTTGTCATCGGCGGTTCATACTTCCTAATTAGGAACCAAGGTAGAATATTATTATTATTATTAGTGCCATCAAAGTGATGCTGGTGCACAAATATACAAAGTCCTATCATGACAAGCCCTGTCATAACAAGGTTATAACAGGCACATTCATCACAGCGAAATGTGCGCGCTCATGTACAATTTTCGACAATACTTTTTATTACAGTACAAGCAACGTTTGGGCAAAGACTTTTAATTTTTTTGTAGATTTATATATTTTTTGCGAAGTAGGTAACGGCTATTCCAGTTCTTGCTACGCAGTAACTACTTATTTAAGACAAATGAATACTGAAAACGACAATCTTCGGGTTATTTTTTGCGAATGGATCCAGAAATGCCCAGCTAACAAAGCCTTGGACTTTTACTTTGAAAAGACTGACTACAGACAACACTGAAAACGAGACATTCAAAGAACAAGACGGAATGATCCCACTTTTCCTTTGGAGAAGTTTACAATCAAGGAAGATCTGCAACGAATCCGCAAACTTACAGAGGACAGAGAAGGGTGGCAAAATATTGTT